TGGCCTACAACACCAGCTTCCACCCAACCGTCGGCAACACGCCGTACTTCCTGCGGTTCGGCTGCGAGCCTCCGACCAGCGTCACCAGCATCCTGTCCGACATACCCGAAGACGTGTCCGGCCACATGGTGGACGTGTTGAGCGCCCTGCACCAGGCTCACGCCCGCGCCAAGGAGCTGCTGGCGGATGCGACGCAGGCCCGCGAGGAGCTCAACCAGCACAAGGCCGATAAGTACAAGGAGTTCAAGGCTGGCGACCTTGTGCTTCTCCATGTGCCGCGCGTCCCGACCGGCGCAAAGCTCAAACGGGGCAAGCCCTGGCGCGGGCCCTTCAAGGTTGCCAAGAAGAACTCCGCCGTCAACTACACCATCGTGCCGAACTTACAACAGATTATGAGACCCAGCTCAATTAGCGCAGACGGCATCAAGGTCTTCGCTGGCGCTGAGCAGGATGCCAACCTCTTCTTCATCACCGTCGAGGCCAAGCTCATCGCCGCTGGCATCGACGCTGGTGTTGTGAGGCGTGTGTGGTCATGCCTTTCACTGGCATGCTCATCGTTTGATGTACATGTTTGAATTACCCCGCTGCTTTGGTTTTCAACATCTCTGTATGTCGTGTCGCGGTCTTGTGGGGATTTCCCCACAAGGCTGCTGTGTGCTTGTTGGTGTCGACTTTCCTTCCATATCTTGGCAGATTTTCCTCTTGTTGTTCTTGAGCTGAGTTGTTCCACGCGAGTCACCGTTCGCTTGTGCTTGTGGTGTTCCTGCTGCACACGTTCGTGTGCCTGTTCCCTGCGCTTGCTGCCCGTCTCTTCTGCCTCCGGGCCCGTCTGCTCTCCCCTCCTTGCACATTAAACCCACACACGCACTTCCCCTTAACATTTGGTGATCATTGAGCCCTGTCTCTCCTTCTGTCGATGGTGCGATCCGTTCGTTTGTTTGTGTGCATTGAGCTCCGTTGTTCTGCATCAAGCGCCTCCGCTTTCACTTGTGTCTCTCTTGCTCTCTCTGGCTCCCTCTTGCTCTGTTCTGTTCAGCTGCAGGTATGACTGTTGGAACACGTTCTTCTACGGCCCAACCACGTCGCACCCCCAAGGTGCCGAATCCGAGCGAGGAGGATGAGGACGCCTTCGAGGACGCTTCGTCGGCGCCCGCATCTTCGACAGCCGCAACACCACGCACGCCGCAGAGCGTCCCTGCGTCCGCAGCACGCTTGCCCATCGATAAGATGGCAGGTTTTAAGTGCTCGGACGTCACACGCTGGGTGCGTCGGTTCAAGACGTTGTGCGCTGCTGTTGGCGCGCACCCTGGTCGCGTGCTTCCACTCTACGTCTCCGCTGAGGTCCTCGACATGTTGCTCGACAGTGACGTTGACCTCGATGACTTTGAGGCGGTTGCTGCCCTCCTAGAGCGCACCTACGGTGTGCAGAAGACCTCCTGTCTCTGCGACGCCGGCTGCAGACCAG